CACTTGACGAGTCCGTCGAAGAGTCTTTTGACGACGCCACGTACGACGACGAGGATGTCGATGCAGCGCAAGGTCCTATTCAACTGGTCGAGTGCCATCCTTTGACCTATCCCATAGTCGCCGATGAGGTCCTCGGTACGGAAGAAAGTGCATCGTTGCACGAGCCCGCGACCCACGGACCGCCGTCGCCCGAGTCGCCCTCTCAAAGGAAGTCCATTCAACTGCTGCTTTTCAGCGCCAAGACGGAAACCGTCGCAGACGACCACGACGTCGAGGCCCCGATCGACATTGCGATGGTCGATGCTCCTGCCATCGACTCGCAACGGGAAAGTGCTGCGACGATCGTCGCGGAGTCGGAGGGCGAGGACGACACCGCCTCAGGGGACGAAGCGTCGTTGCCACTGGAGTCGACAGCGCCATCGACCATGAACGACGACCCATGTACACCTGATGAAGCGGTAGCCAGCCGTGACGCGCTCCTTGGTGCAACCGCATCGCCTGGGAAATATATCGTGAACGCTGACGAGGCGCACGACGAGCTCGCGACCAGCTCAGACGAAGCGGACGAGACGTATTCTCCCAATGCCGCTTTCCTTTCTCGGGACGATGTCAACGGCGGGTCGGATGTGGACGAGATGGACGAAGCGTTGTCTGACGTCGACGAGCCGACCGACGGCCGTGGCTCGGCGGAAGATTCTGAACGCTCGCCCCGGGGTCCGGAGGGGATGACGAATCGCCATTCGTTCGAGCATCGTACGGACGACACGCCGTCATCCGATGGGTGGGACGCGTCGAGCAGCGCCCACGCAGTGTCGTTGAACGACGTCCGGAGCGCGACAGGCCGCATCGACAAATGTGCACACGATGACGAGGCTTTGGATACGAAGGACGACCATATGATTACGAGCGCACCTCGTGCAGAGGCTCGGATGGCAGCCCAAGATGCTCAAAAAGACTTCACGAATTCGCACCAGAACGAGCACGAAGATGACCTCGAAGACGACGACGCGGCGGTGCTCCGAGCAACGATGGACGGTGTGGCCAACATGGCAGCCGCAGAATCTCTGGACGAAGATTTGTCATCCTCCGAGTCGGATGCAGACGAGGCGCCGATGCCAAACGAGGTGCTTTCGCACACCAACGTGCAGCCCACCGAGAGGTCGGTGCCCCAAGCCGCCGACGGCGATGCGTCCGATGAGGAAGAGGTGATGGCGCTGCAGCAGTCGGCACCGATGGGTGCACAGGTGACTCTCGCGTCACTCCGCCGCGCCGTCGACAGCGACGACGACGAGTTTGACCACGAAGTGTCTCGTCCGCCGACCGCGGCTGGCGACGATCATTCGTTCAACATGGACGAGGAAACGAACGCGGCGGGCTCAGCCCACGACGCCAGCGCCGATCAAGTCCGCGACGAATCAAGAGATGTCGACACGCTAGCCGACGACAACTCGTTCGATATGGAGTACGATGACGTCGTACCCACAAACGACGTCGACCCCGACAGCAGTGACGACGAGGGTGTCACCACAGCCCTCGATTTGCAGCCGGTGGTCGCCGAGATGTCCCAGGGCAACTATCGTGACACCAGTGATGTGGACGCAACCTCTCTGAAGACCGACCAGACAACACCGTTGGTGGTTGGCGGCGACGCGTCATTGGCGCCTGCACACGACATCAGCTTAGCAGACGACGAAGTGGGCGATGACGAGGCCTTCTCGGACGACGAAGTGCTCTCGGAGGCCGATGCGAATGAGCCGTCGGTGGAAGAGGCGCAGACGGAGGAGGTCGAGCACCTCGCACCTGCAACGATCCACGCCCATCGAGAGGCATCCAAAGACGCACCGTCTGTCCACGCGGACGCATCGGACGATCTGGATGAGGTGGAGCGGTTGATGCACAGCCACTTGCACCAAGAGACGACTCTTTCGATGCCGAGAACGACGAATCCGTGGTCGAGGCAGCCCAACCACTGCCCGTGCACGCACAAGAGAGCTCCGAGTTGCGGCTCGGTAGCGGCCACGAGGAGACTCTGCGTCACGCCGATCCAAACGCGGCATCTTCCGAGCCACATGATGACAGCGGTGACGATATGGACGACGACGGGCCTCTCTCAGACCCGGAGGACGACGAAGACGACGAGTCGCTGAACGTGTCGACACCATCACCAACCGACACAGATGCTGCATCCCGCATACCGGAGACAGCAGCGGTGACAGAAACCGAAACATTCGAGACGACAGCAGCGCCATTGGGCAAGGACCAAGCGCATGTGGCCGCTGACGTGACACCACTACAAACCAAGCATGAATACGACGACGCGGAAGAGCTCTCGTCCAGCGACGGTGAAGACGATATGGACATCGACGAGTCCATCGAGGCAAGCGAGGACGATCCAAGCGCCGACATTTCGACGGGTGCGTTGTTCGATCCGGCAAAGGCGGCGGGTGTGTTGATGCCCGCAGCCAACGATAATGGAACGCATCGTACCGAAGGAGCTGATGGCGGCAACGATGACATGGCGGTCATAACATCTCGTTTGGCACCGCACGGGACACAAGACCAAGACAGCGGCGCGGATACCTTCACAACGACGGGGCGCGAAGAAGACAAGCCGACCGTCGACCACAAGGACGGACAGAAAAATGCATCCCAAAATGCAGACGCCGCAATGGAGACCGCGCTTCCAACGGCATACGAGTCGACTTCTGTCGCTCGACCTGGCGACGGGTCTTCGGAGAGCCATGCCACCAAACAAAGCGAGGAGCAACTGGACAGACATGCCGACGATGATCACGACAACTCGTTCGACATGGACGAAGGCACCGACGACGTCGGCCACCTTGCCGATGATGAAGAGCGCGTGGAGAGTGGTTCCACTGCCGCGGGCGTAGGGATTCGATCGTCGATGACTGCTCGTTTTGATGACGATGAAGCCGTGCTGGACGACAGCCTCGAAGCCTCGGGCGACGACGAAAACAGCTTCGACGCCTCGGGTCACACGCTGGAACCGCCTTCCGCTGAGACGCACGGCGATGGCATCCCATTGACGTCCTCCGTCGTCGACAACGGTCTCTCTGATCCTGTCAGCACGCGCCATTTGGACGACGACCAAAAGTTGTCAGATGCCGACGACCACGAGCTGTCAGGTACCGACGATCAAGCGGATATTGGTGTGGACAATACGTCTGCTCTGGCACGCGACCGCGCAGCTGGGGAAAAAGCCAGCTGGTGGCTTCAGTGTCGTCGCTGCACGATGATCATACGATGCGACGCGTCGAAGCTACCAGCGACGATGACGAAGCTTTGTCAGATCCAGAGGACGATGCTGCTGAAAACAGCTTTGACGAACCAACCGAGCATGTCATATCAGCTACGGCAATCGACCGTGAAGCTGGTGCACCTTTGACGGAGCTCCATGACTCTGGAGCTCCAACATCCGACCGGCTGCGTGCAGATGTTGAAGCGTTGTCGGACGGTGAAGACGAAACCAGTGTTGACGCCAACCACCGTGAGGCGACTGCGTTATCCAAGACCCCTCTCGATGCTACGGCGAGTCTTGACGAGCCTACCTTGACCACCCGACCCAACGAAGGCGCAAGGGGAGTCACCGTTGTCGAGACCCACGTCAACGCGGAGGACGAGAACGATGACAGCGACGATGCGCTGTCGGACGTCGAAGATGCTCACGATACATTGAGCAACCGCTCCGGTAGGGCTGACGCCGCGTCGCATCTCGGCACGGAGACCCGATATGATGTTACAGCTGCTTCTTCGCCCAACGCTACAGCGACTGCACCGATGCACGTTGGTGACGACTGCGAAGAGGCTTTATCTGACGAGGAGAGTGCGAGCGACTTTGACAGCAGCTTTGACGCACCGAACCCGACACCGCAGAGTCCACCGGTGGAGCCGCACTTCCATGATGCCTCGCCGATGTCGCCCAACGACGTCGCAACGCGGAACCTGATGGTCGAGGTCAGCCCCCCGATGGAGAACGACGACGACGACGCGCCCTTTGAGGCCAACGACAAAGCCTACTTGGTGGACGATGACGACAGCAGCTTCGATGCGGTTGTTGCCGCACCACTGACCACCCCTCATGGAGTCGAGCGCTACGACAACCTCACGACGGACCGTCATGACGTCATGCATCCAGTAGCCGCGTCTTCAACCCAGTTTGACGACGAGGACGAAGTGTTGTCTGACCCTGAAGACGACGGGGATGCAATCGACAGCAGCTTTGATGCCTCGGCCATGACACCGGACGAGCTACGTGCGTTTCCCACAGAGAAAGACGCCAATCCCACGACCGACCGTCATGACGCCACGCGTCCGGTTGTCCAGATGTCAACCCACTTTGATGACGAAGACGAAGCACTGTCGGACCCCGAAGACGACGTTGATGGTGACGACGGACGCTATGACGCGCCGGTGGTGACGACAGACGAGCCCCGTGTGCCTTCCCCAGAGAGCCACGACAACTCCACGACGGACCATGATGACACCATGCATCCAGTAGCCGCGGCGTCCTCAGCCCACTATGATGCCGAGGATGAAGCGTTGTCGGATGCCGAGGATGATATCAATGCGATCGACGGCAGTATCGGTGCACCGGTGGCGACGTCAGACGAGCTTCGTGTGTCTCCCACCGAGAACCATGCCAATTCTACGGCCGGGCATCACGAAGCCATGCGTCCGGTTGACCAGCCGTCATCGCACTTTGATGACGAAGACGAAGCACTGTCAGACCCCGAAGGCGATGTTGATGGTATCGACAACAGCTTTGACGCCCCTGCCACGATGGCAAGCGAGCCTCTTGTCGCATCCGCGAAGAGCTATGTCAATTCTACAGTGCACCTTCATGAAGCTGCGCGGCCGGTTGTCCAGACGCCAACCCACTTTGATGACGAAGATGAAGCGTTGTCGGGTGGCGAAGACGAGGCTGATGGTATCGACAACAGCTTTGATGCCCCTGCCACGATGGTGACGCGGGGTGAGCCCCGTGTGCCTTCGACAGAAAGCCACAACTACCCAACAACCGACCGTCATGACGCCATGCGTCCGGTTGACCAGCCGTCAGCGCACTTTGATGACGAAGACGAAGCATTGTCGGGTGCCGAAGACGAGGTCGATGGTATCGACAACAGCTTTGACGCGCCGATGGTGACGAAGAGCGAGCCTCGTGTCTCTCCCACAGAGAGTCATGTCAATCGCACAACCGACCTTAACGACGCAATGCGTCCGGTGGCCGCGTCCTCAACCCATTTCGATGATGCGGACGAAGCGTTATCCAACGCCGATGACCAAGACTTGTTGGACACCAAGGACGATGGGAATGCCATCGACAGCAGTTTCGACGCACCATTGATGCCGCAGCATACCTCGTCGACAGAGATTACCGACGGCACCGACTCCAACGGGCGCGTGATCGACGACCGCGTGCCATCGCTCGTCGTTGAACGCAACACCATCGATGACGACGGCGGTTACGAAGCGTTGTCCGACCCCGACGATGAAAGCTTTGGTGACGTGGAGCATGGCTCGAATGGCCTTTCCGAAGCGCCTGCTCGTCCAACGTTTGCAGTGGATGATCCCGTTGACGCCGATGCGCTCTCGGACGACGAATCTGGGGTGGGCGCCCCCAGTAGTTTTTCAATGCACGGCGAGCATGCTTACAAATACGGAGAAGACACGCATGCGTCAGACAATGACCACCATGTGCCTGTCGCGGCCCCTCAGCAATGGCAATCGCGCCGCGTGAGGCAGAGAGCAGCGTCCCGTTGGCGTCCTCTCGACCCAGCGATACGTCGTTTGACGACGCCAGCGATGTTGACGACGACGACGATGACGTCACGGCACCGTTGCAAGGCGCAGACGCTGCATCGATCGATGCCGCCAGCCGTCGACTGCTGACGACTGCACACTACGACGACGCGGACGACTTGTCCTCGGAATCGGACGATGAACCGCCGGCCAAATCGCATCCAGTGTACGACGACGGCGGCGAAGACGTCTCGGACAGCGACGCGGACGACACTACGGACGTCACATCGACGCCACTGACCCAAACGCCGTCAACAACCAACGAGTCAGCTCAACCCAACCGTAGCTCGGCAATGGAAGACGACGAAGACGAGGAGGAGGTCGAGACGCCGTTGCCGTCAAGAGCACCAACGGGTGGGCTGCCGCCCGTCGCCTCTCGCTTCGGTACGATGGCAAACGCTCACGACACCGACGACGAAGACCTCGACGAGGTCGAGCGACTTATGCAAGGTCATCTCCAAGGCCGCGCAACCGACAATTCGTTCGACTTCGACGATGGGGAAGACGTCGAGAATAGCTTTGATGCCCCCGACAACACCACGACCGTATCGCATGCTCGGTCTGCAAACGAAGAAGACGAGTTATCGGATTCTGAAGACCGCCCACCAACCGCCAGCGTGCCCAATCATCATGGCTCCCTCGGACACGAAACAGGACCGGCATCCCAACCAGCGACTGCGTCTGTTGTCTCCTCGAGCGTGCCACCGCCGACAGCGCAACGCCCGACCGATGAGGAAGTTGAGCTTGACGACAGCGACGAAGAACTTTCGACAAAGCGCAACGAGCCAGTGCCTCGTCACGTACCCCAAGCAGCGCCGCTCCGTTCGATTGCGTCGCAGCTGCCACCCGTCGCGTCGACCCTCGGTCGGCATGCACCGCTCGGCGCCAAAGCACCACTGGCGGCGCTCCACGCCGGAGACACCGAGGACGACTTGGACGAAGTCGAGCGCTTGATGCGCGACCACGTGACGACACACGCGTCACTTGCATCGCGCACGGCTGCCGATGCGGACTTTGACGACAGCTTTGATGCCCAAGAAGCCTCTGGCGACGACGACGACAACGATGACGCGCTCTCTGACCCAGACGAGGCGACGGCAGCGTTCAACGCCGTGACACAACGCGAGGATACGCTTTCAGCCGGTAAGCGGATGCCATTGGCGCCGCTCACCAAGCCGCTTCCACCAATCGGCGCCGCGCAAGAGAGCTCGTTTGACGACGCGTCACCGAGCAAACTATCGGCGCTGGACCGGGCGCTGCTTCCATCAGGCGACGCTCTCCACATCCACACGGTCCGTCACCACGATGACGACGCAATGGAACTCGGTGCGTCATTCGATGACGGCAACGAGGATAGCCTCGATGCAAGCGGCGTGGCCGACCCCCGCGTTTCGACGACGGCGAGGACGTGGACGGGTCGAGCCGCGATGACCAAGCCGCGTCATTCTCGCCATCGCCAGTGACGCAGCCGAGTAGCGCCCCACCCCACGACGACGACGATGCGTACTCGGATTCTTTCGATATGGAGGAGTCGATCGATGAAAGCGTCGCGTCCGATGAGGACGCCACGTCATAGACTAGTGTTTTGTATACAATCCAACCTCTTTTTCATCTCATACTACAACGGCCAGAGAGATACCGGTGGCCAACGCCATGGTTGAGGGAGGGCTGGAACACGGCAGAATGCAAGTAGAGCGACAAGAGGCAAGTGGAACGCCGACCTGCTATTTTGAGGGCGGTTGGTAAAATTAGCCAGCAGTGACAGTTGCAGATAGAAGGGTCGACCACATTGAAGCGACACGTGCATGCGCGAGCGGTCCGATGGAGAACTATGAGAACCTCGGCACGATCGGCGAAGGGTATTCGCACGTCACCACGACATCGGTCAGCTGACCCGGCTTTGTAGCACGTACGGCGTTGTGCTCAAGTGTCGGCACAAGGAGACGGGCCAAATCGTCGCCATCAAAAAGTTTAAAGAGTCGGATGAAGACGAACAAGTCCGCAAGACCGCGATGCGTGAGATTCGCATTCTCAAGGTACCCTCTGCCATCGTGTGACACGGATGTGGACGATGGCGTGGGTAGCAACTCAAGCACGAGAACATTGTCAACCTCATCGAGGTCTTTCGGCGAAAAGGAAAACTCTACCTCGTACGTCGATCCGAGCGGACAACATGCAGCCTCAAGTCCTATGGACTAGGTATTTGAGTACGTGGAGAAGACGATCTTGGAAGAGATCGAGAAGAACCCCGAGGGCCTCGAGCCACATGCGATCCGAAGCCTCATGTGGCAGCTCATTCGCGCGATTCACTACTGCCACGAGCACAACATCATCCACCGCGACATCAAGCCCGAGAACCTCCTCGTCTCCAAAAATGGCGTCTTGAAGCTCTGCGACTTTGGCTTCGCGCGCACATTGGCCGCGGCCGGGGCCAAATATACCGACTACGTCTCGACGCGGTGGTATCGTGCACCAGAGCTGCTCGTCGGCGACGTCTCGTATGGAAAAGCTGTCGACATTTGGGCCGTCGGCTGCATGCTCGCCGAGATCACGACGGGGTTGCCGCTTTTTCCTGGCGACTCGGACATTGATCAAGTACATACTCCCCCTTGTATCCGTCTCACAAAGTGCAACCCTAGTTGTACCATATAATGAAGTGCCTCGGGCGCATCACGTCCCGGCAGCAAGAGTTGTTTCGGAAAAACTCGCTCTATGTCGGCGTCAAGGTAAGGCACCCGCGTGTTTGTGTCGCTTCAAGTTGCGTGCTCGTAGTTGCCCGAAGTCACGTCGGTCGAGACGCTCGAAGACCGGTTTCCGCAGCTCGACAAGGTCGCAATCGACTTTTTGCACCAAACCGTCCAAGACGAACCATTGGATCGATGGACGTGCTCGGAGCTGCTCGAGCATCCGTTTGTCGCCGAAGGCGCCGAGCTCTTTGAGCAACAGCTCAAGATCAATATCGCCAAAGACATGGCCGACAACATGATCAAGCCCAAGCGCGTATGCGTCTCGTAGCAGCTGCAGTCAACATACAATGTCGTCTCGTAGATGAAAAAGCCGCCGCGGCGGAGCAGCGACGCGACACCGCCCTCGTCGTCCGCGTCCTCGAAGCCGCCCAAGTCCAAACTCGCCAAGGCCTCGGACGTGCCACGTACAAATCTCTTGTTGCCAATGCATCATAGGACCATAGCACGTCTAGGTACACCCAGTCGAGGAGGCGCGGACCGGCTACTGCCCAACCTCGGAGCCACGGCGCCCGTCACGCCGCTCTCGAACCTTGCGTACGTGTGTCTGGAAGACGCCAACAACGGTACATACTTTTGACGAGGACGGCGCGTCAATATGGTGCCTACTAGCGGTCATCGAGTATACGAGTCGAAAGATCAAGCGGGCGGCAGACGTAATATTGCCGACACGCGCACGGATGGGTGGTCATGGCACTGCATAGGCCGAGCCCGCACTGCACATACCAGAGGATGCGGCGCTTCTGATCGAGCAGCACACCCACTCCCGCCTCTCGGTCACATCCCACGGCGAGCGCCTTCGGTCGCTGCCCAAGAAGGTGCTGACGAAGCGCGCCGTCATTGGCCTCGAGCTCAAGCAAAACCAAAGCTCGGGCACACGCCGCCACGGACGCCGCAGTCGTCGTCGCGAAGGGAGCTTCGTGGGTTTTAGGCGTCCGTCGTATCGAACAACACACATATATATATAAATGTAGAGAATCCTCTCAGCGGCGGAACGTGCTGCCGACATAGGCTGGCGCTTTCGGGTCTTCGAGAAAAGCGGCGAGGCGGTTGTAGCGGCCAATGGCTTCGGCCGAGAAGAGACCGCCCATTTTGATCTGGCCGCAGCCAATGCCGATGGCCAGGTCCATCGGAAAGGGATCGTCGGACGCACTCGCGTCACAGCCGACCATGAGGGCGATACCGAGCACGCGCGCTTGGGCAGCGACGTGCAGTACTTGGGTGATGGTTGCAAACTATGACAGTGGCGTGAGACGACGAGCCAGTGGCGGCGGTGCGAACCTCGCCGAGGTTGAGCAAAATCGTGTTGCAAGCTCGCTCTTCGTGAATGGTCTCGACGCCGCGCTGGAGGAGTTTGTGGCCGACAACTTGGAGCTTGCACTGTCCGTCGCCGCCAATCGTTGTCGTTTCGGTCGCCTCGCCTTCCGCGATCGTATTGATTGTGCGGTTGAGCGTGCTGCACACTTTGATGTCCCGGCCGTCAAACGGGTCGACGATCGTCGTGATGGCGTACGTCTTGACCCACTCGCGAACGAGCTCGGAAAATTCGTCACTAACGCAACACGAATTGGAGGTTTGAACTCGCGTCGATGCTACCTTGTTTTAGGCACACTCTTGGGCATTGGCATCCACTTGTCAATGTTGTACGTGCAGCTGTCATTGTCGGGCGACGCAAACGCATGGGCGGCAATGTCGATGCCGAGTCCAAGGTCAATCTGTTGGGCAGGAAGTTTGAACATGTCCTTGACTTTAGAAACCGCTTCGGTCGAAATCGTGAGACATTCTTCGACCGACATGAGCTGGGGGGTGAGCCCCCCCGAGGCCCCCCGGTTCGAGTGGCCGTTGCCTTTGGCGTCGAGTAGCTCCTTGAGCGTCAAGAGCACTTCGCCGGCGTAGCGCAGTGCGTCTTGAAACGACGCACAACCCATCGGCATGACCGTGATCTCCGACACACAGAGCTTATTGGACGCCAAGTTGCCGCCGTTGAGGAGGCTAAAGATTGGGACGGGCAAACACGCACCTACAAACATGAATGAGAGAGGGATAGAAGAGTCGTTGTTGTACTCTCAATTGGCACATCCGCGAGCGACGCAATGTACTCGTACAGTGGCTGGTCCTTCTGGGCCGCGCCGGCCTTGCAGATCGCCATCGAGAGTGCGATGCACGCTTGGCGACCCACCTTGTCGGCCATCGACACGATCTTCTCGTCGCAGTCGGCTTGGTCGCAGGGATCCATGCCCTCGAGAAGATGCTGCATGTAGAGCGAAACGTCGCGCGCACGCAAGCCATGGCCGCGGTACCGCGAGGCGTCGTCCGCGTCAAAGAGCCCGGTCGTCGCACTCCCGGTTGAGGCATCGAAGCGACCTCGCCCGGTATGCACGCTCGCGAGAAGCGTGGGATATCCAGACGAGTCGACGACCTCTTTGGCCGAGACAGAGAAAATGCCCTTGTTGGACATGGCGCGGTTCTGGAGCAGCTTCCCGAGCACGAGGTAGGGGTCCGATGGCCGGTCGCGCACGACTTGGTTGAGGAAGACGTTCAAGGAGCTCTCGAGCCCATGCTGCGCGAGGTACTCCTCGATGAGATCCTTCTCGGCGACTTCCTCAGGGTTGCTAATCACGCTTGCCGTGCTCGCCGTCGGCGCCGGCGCAGCCGCCTTGTCCTTCTTGGGCATGGCGCGATCTTTTTCCAAATCTTTCAATCCTATTTAGGACCCGACACGTGGTGGTGGTCAGGATATCCTATATAGGTATTGTCCTAAAATGCATAGCACGTTAGTTTTCCGACACTACGACGAGCTAGCTCCTCGCGACGGCGCCGCCATGTCTTCGCGTGCAGATGACAGTAGCAATGTAGTTGTGTGGGACTCTAGCGCACGCTGGCTTGTACACGTCCTGTACCTGGCCCTGCAGTACTGCCTGGGAGGCCGAGGATGATCCATGGAAGTGTTGCAATTACGTCGAGAATCGACCAATCATCATCTGCCACTTTCATTTGCGACGCGAATACTACAGATATGGCCCAATCATAATGCTGCATGCAAAGCGACACATTTCATGGCTCTTTTACACGTCGATGATTGGTCGTATGGGAGCGCTATGTCGACACGTGATTGGGCGAAACTTTAAATCCGCCGAATTCACCTTTGGGTCGCCATTGCCGCAAAGGAGTCCCAAAAGCCAAGAAGCCGAGAAGACCAATATGGCCATGTACGCGTCCATCGACGAGGCTGCATGGGGCTCATCTCTTCCTAGCCTCTGCTGCATGTGCGGCGTCTCGATCGAACCCAACCTCGCCAACATGTGCGTGGCCTGCCTCTCGAACGAGGTCGACATCACCGAGGGCATCACGAAGGAAGCTGTCTTGATCCAGTGTCGTGGCTGCCTCCGCTTCCAGCGCGGTGCCAAGGGCAACGACGGCGCGTTCGCCGAGTGCCCGCTCGAGTCGCTGGAGCTCATGACGCTCTGCCTCAAGAAGATCCAGGGCCTTGGCCGCGACGTGAAGCTCATGGACGCGAGCTTCATTTGGACCGAGCCCCACAGCAAGCGCATCAAGCTCAAGCTCACGATCCGCAAGGAGGTAAATGACACATCCATATATGCAATTCGTATCGACGCGCGTAGGCCATGCGCAATGCGATGGTGCAAAAGTCGTTTGTCGTGACCTTTGTCGTTGAGAACCTCAAGTGCGCCGACTGCAACAAGCAGTACCGCAACAATACGTGGCAGGCGCTCGTGCAGATCCGCCAAAAGGTCCCCCACAAGCGCACGTTTCTCCATCTCGAGCAGATCATCCTCAAGCACCAAGCGCACACGCGCTGCATTGGCATGGCGTCCGAGAAGGATGGCATGGATTTTTTCTTCGGCGAGAAAAACTCAGCCGAGCGCTTTGCCTCGTTCCTGAGCCAGCACGTCCCGCTCCGGTACCTCTTTAGCATACTCCCAACGTCTCACACAGATATTGCGTATGTAGTACCAAGATGGCGCGCAAGCTCGTCTCGACCGACAACCATAGCAACACGGCCAACGTCAAGCTCACGATCGTGGCCGAGATCGCGCCGCTTTGCAAGGACGACCTCGTGATCCTCGAGAAGCGCATAGCGCAGCAGTGCGGCATGTCGGTCGCCGTCGTCTCGCGCGTCACGACCCAGATCCACCTCGTCGACCCGCGCACATGCCGCCGGTTCGTTGTTTTTTCACGATTTTTAGAGTAGTTCTTACAATCTCTTGTATGGCATTAGGTCGGAGGTCACGTCGGAAAAGTACTGGAAGCACCCCTTCCACGCACTCGACACGGCCGCGTCGATGGTCGAGTTTATCGTGCTGGACGTCGAGCCGCTACAAGTGACGCCCAAGGACACGCAAGACAGCGCCGATCTGCTGGCGGTGGTCGAGGTCGCCCGCGTCTCGGACTTTGGCTTCAACGATACGACGTTCCACGTGACGAGCCACCTCGGGCGGTACCTCTCGGCCGGCGACACGGTCAAGGGCTACGACCTCGGGATCTGCAACTTTGGGTCGTCGCAGCTGTACCACCTCAAGGACGAGCTCCCGGACATCATCCTCGTCCGCCGCGTGTTTCCGAAGAAGGAGAAGGAAGGGAAGCGCCAAGAGCGCAAGAAGCTGCGCTGGCAAGCCAAGGCCAAGGCGAGCGCCAAGGACCGCGAGCGCGAAGAGGAGGAGTTTGAGGCGTTCATGGACGACTACGAGGAAGATCATGCCGGTGACGAGGCCATTGAAACGCCACTGCTCGAGTCGGTCGATGGCGGCGATGACGATGCGATCGACGCCATGGACGCCGACGACGTGGCTGATGTCGACGAGGCGGTGGCGGACGAGGCCAAGGTGGTTACGTAGAGAGAAGCGCTCAGATGCAAGCAGAAGTAAAGAACTCTCATCGTATGGACAAGCAAAAATGTGGCTTTATTACCACCCGTACTTGGCTTGGGTTTCGCGCTTGGATTTGAGGGCGAGACCCTTCTTGTCCTGGAGATCAAATTCGCGGAGCTTGGCGTCAAATGTGAGCTGGTTGAGCTGGTGGCGCTGCCGCTGGAGTCTAAGCACGACACGCGTACATGTCGGATAAGAACGGAGATGACGTACCTCGACGGGCGGTACGACGCGACGACGTAGCCGTTCTCTGTCTCGGTCCCCGCCATCTCGGCGAGGACTTGCGCCTATAGGAAGACAACGTGAGGCTCGTGGAACACCGCCGAGTCGATCGTACTTCGCGATCGCTGGCAAAGACCGTCGAGCCATCGATAGGCGGCTTCCAGGCACCTGGCGCCACGGCCTGGACTTCCACGACCTGTTCTAGCACGTGAGAACGCTGCAACACACAGATGAGTGGGGGTACCTGCCCAGCGACCGCGTCAAACTTGCCTTGCTGGAGCATGCGCTCGAGCTGGCGTTCCTTGTTGCGCACGCGCTTGCTCTACGCAGAGATGTAAACACAGAGACACATTCGTCCATATTCCTGTACCTGCATGTGCTGGTCGTCGTCGCCATCGTCTCCATCGTCTTCGATCGTCGGCACGTAGAGGTGCGAGGCGGCGGTGGACGCTCCGACCGCGCTCGCCGAGGATGATGCGTCGTGCTGCACCTACAGCCTTGCGCTGAGAATCCTCATGCAGTGTCGGAGCGGTTTGTACGGGAGGAAGCGGCTTCTTGACTTTCGGCGACGGCGGCGCTGGCAGCGCGACCTTTGGTGCTGGGAGGAACCCGAGGAGCCCGGCCGGGTCGGGCGCCACGGATCTTGGCTCGACCTTGGCCTTCTTCTTCGCCGGGCCACGGTGAATGTCGTCGTCGTCGTCCGAGTCGTCACTGTTGAGTGCCCGACCGCTCTCCAAGAGCTTCTGCATCTCGGGCGGCAAGAAG